TATGTTAAGCATTTTGAATGATTACAAGAATGTATCCTGAAGGGGAGGGGGGAATCAGGGATTCAGGAGAATATTTATTTATGCATGAATGTGATCAGTTGTTGTTTATTCAATGCTTTTATTGATTTCAGAGAGGGGGATGGAGAGAGATGGGGGAGAAAGAGAGAGAGAGAGAAACAAACTATGTGAGAGAGATACATAGATGGGTTACCTCCCATTGAACCTGCAACCTGGGGCATGTGCCATGACTGGGCATCCAACCAGTGACCTTTTGGTACATGGGATGACACCCAACCAACTGGACAGGGCAGCTGTGTTATTAATGAAGTAAAGAATTTTAAACTAGCTAGATGGCCCCCAACAGGGGTTGATTAAATCAGTTTATCATATAGCTGGATAAGGAGATACAAGGCATTTAAAATGTTGTCATAGCCTGCCCTGTTATGTTATAAAGGCAGGATCTCAAATTATGTTTATAGATATAGACTCTATAAAAAATATATATATATTTCAAGCTAGATGTATGCAAAGCAGAGAGCCTGGCGGTAAACACCACCAATATGCCAACTTCTGCTCAGAGCAGAAGTTGGGGTGATATTAATTTTCTTCTTTGTACTTTATGCATTTAGAATTTTTAGATTGAATTTATTGGGGTGACATGGGTTTGTATGTAGATTTTTATATGTGTATCCATTAGTCATATATATATATATATATATATATATATATATATATATATATATACACACACACACACACACACACACACACACTAATATGCAAATTGTCCCCTCGGGAGTTCGACCTGGAGACCAGGAGTTCAATCGCTATGATGTGTGTTGACCACCAGGGGGCATCATGGAACGAAGGAAGGCCCCAGCCAGCAGCCAGAAGGCCCCGATTGGGCCTGATTACTGGCCAGGCCTAGGGACCCTACAAATTTTGTGCACCAGGCCTCCAATAAGAAAAATATTTCTTAAAGTCTTTCTATGTTGTGTATGGAGGATCATACCGATCTCTCAATACCTAGAAACTATTATTTCTCTCACACCCAGATTCAATTTCCTTTCAGAACATCAGGCTTAGGAAACGTTAGCAGAAATGTTTACTTTCCACTGACTATCAAAGAAAAAATGGTGAAATATTTACAATCTGTTCCCAGGGCCCTCAGCTGCCCTTTCTTGCCTCTCAGTTCTCTTCCATAACTTTTATTCCAATGGGACTTGGGTTGCTGGCTTATGTTTTTGGGTATGTGACTGGCCACTGAATTTACCAGGACAGAAAACACATTCTTAGCACCAAGCAGTGAGTCTCACTAAGGAAACAGGACGTTCCACAAATACTAGTAGGTGCAGAGTGTGAGATGATGGTGTCCCTGAACCCAGGTTTTTGCATGGTTTCTGCCTAGTGGGATGGGGATGGCTGAGCAGGTGCATTCTTAGTACATCTCATTCTTTCTGCCTTTGTCTTTGGCCAAAAAAGAATAAATATTACAAACGTATGGGTCATAGCATATCAACATGGAAGAGATCAAGTGAAAAATTCTGTGGGTTTCATTAACACAGATGGAGTCAGCTGACTCAGCACAGCAGAATGGGAACAAGTGGGTCACACTGAACAGCACCGCCTGGCCGGTGTGGCTCAGTGGTTGAGCATCAACCTATGAACCAGAAGGTCATGGTTTGATTCCAATCAGGGCACATGCCCAAAGTTACCAGCTCCATCTTCTATGTGGGGTGTGCAAGTGCAGCCAATCAATGATGCTCTCTCATCACTGGTATTTCTATCTCTCTTTCCCTCTCCCTCCCTTTCCAAAGTCAATACAAATATTAAAAAAAAAAAAAAAAAAAAAAAAATAACAACAACAACTGAACAGCACCAAGGCCCCAGTTTGTCCCCAGAATCACAAGCTGTGGTTACCTAGTCAAAAATCACTCATGGTTGATGACGTCTTTGCATTTCATTCTTGAAATCCTGAGGATTTCTATCTGGCGATTTTTCCCCCAGGAGAAAACTGCCCTTTCTGACGTGTTTCCTGAAAGCAGGAGCTGAGTTCTCTGTCCTTCCACCTTTGTGGGCTCGGTGATCATTTCTCCAGAGCACAGACTGTTGTCTGAAGAGCGCGGACTCCTCTGGCCTGCCTTGCTCCTCCCCGGCACAGGCCTGTGAGGTTTCTCCTTGTCCGACAGTCCCTCCAAATGGAAGCTTTCGGTACTGCAACCGAAACATGAACCGTGTGCAGGCTCTCCTGTCTGCTCTCACTCTTCAGCCAAACAAACCTCCACTGGGCGCTCCGAGGTTCTGCCTCAGCCTGTGCTGACCCTGGAGGGGGTGGGAGGGCGGCTGGGGGAGGAGAGGGACACGCCACACCCAGGTGTGGAGTGGGATGCAGTCCTCACTGTCAAGTGGCTGTCAATCTGTAGAGCACCCCATGGTGCTCATGGGCCGAAACACCCCACACCCTTACTGCCTCAGAATTAGCATCTCCTGCCCCTCCCAGTCACTTCCCTGCTGGGCAGGGCCCTCAGTGGGCTATGACTGCTGGTCGTGCTTGAGACAGTACTGAACTGACATTAAAAAGCATTAAGTGACATGGTGAGAAAACTATTCCCTTTTCAATCATCTTTCAATCCAGCAAAACGACTCCACCTGGGGCTGGAATCGTCTTAACCCTCGAAGCCCCGGTAAGCTCCCCCTTTTGTAACCAAGAGCAGGTCTCGGGCAGCTGTGCCCGCTGGAAACGAGGAACACAGTTGTGTTTTCCTGGTATTTATTTGTTTTTCTGGTAACTGTATTGATGGCAGGCAGTTTCAGTGTCCCACCTACCACAGTGATCAGTTCTGAGTGCTGCCTCTTTAACTCCTGAGTGTTAAAAAGTGAGTAGATTTTTTTTTTTTTTTAACGTGAATAAGGGTCTGAGTCCTCAAGTGGTGCCAGCGATGCCAGTTCAGGAACCACGCTTAGAAATGCTCAGTTGGGAAGCCAACTAGATGCTCGTGCCTGGGCCTCAGCCCAGACCAGTTAAGTCAGACTCTCCGGTGGGGTGGGCATCACTCTTCGCTCAAACATCCCAGCTGTTTCCGCACGCAGTGAGGTGGAGACCCAGTGCTGGCATCTGTTGGGGAGGGGAGTGCAGCATCCTTACACCCCTGACTGCATTGCCCCTTCTTTCTCTCCCCTGTCCCTAGCCCTTCTGACCATCCACTTCCACGCTTGTGTTGCACCTCTCTCTCTCTCTCTCTCTCTCTCTCTCTCTCTCTCTCTTACTCTCTCTCTCTCTCTCTCTCTCTTTCCCTCCTTCCCTCCCTCCCTCCAATCCTTCTTCTCTCCCTATTTCCCTCTCTCCCCCCGCCGTCTCTCTCTCCCTCCCTCCCCCTCTTTCTCTCCCTCCCTCCCTCTTTTCCTCTCTTTCCCCCCTCTCTTTTCCTCTTTCTCTCCCCCCTTTCCTTCTCCCCCCTCTCTCCCCCTCTCTCTCTTTTTCCCTCTCTCTCCCTCCCCTCCCTCAGTTCCCCTCTTGCAGCTTCCCCACACCTGCTCCTATGGGAACACCCTCGGACACCACTGCTTAAGACGGTGCTGGCACCGTGCAGTCGCCACCACGTTGGGCGATTTCCCCATCGCACCGCTCTTCACGGGTTGGCTTGCCAGTGTGTGCGCTGCCAGTCCTATTGCGTCCCTTCAGGCTGTGTCCTGTGCCAGGAACGTGGATTCACACCCGGTGATCGCATCATCGCTGATTGTCATTGTCATTGGGCTCTCGCTGTGCACCTGTCGCTGTCCTAAGCTCGTTGTATGTGGGAGCTGCATCATCACCGGGAGGGACAGTCTTCCCGGTGAAGACACTCGAGGGGCAAGGAGGCTCACGCCTCACCCAGATCACACACCCAGAAGGGCAGAGCCGAATCCAAGCACAGGCTGCCTGCCTGGCCCGCTTGTTCTGGGCAGGGGGGACCCAGGTCAGTCGCTGCCCATTCGAATGCAGGTGTTCGGCGTGCTGACTGTGCGATGGGAAATGGGGGTTTGGGCATCGACTTCAGTGACATTGGGGATTGATAGCTTAATTACACGTTCTGCTTACGTGATAACGTCTCCACAGGAAGCCCGCAGCTTTAGGAGTAAACGCTATTGGTGTTTTAATTCGTCACCGTTCAGAGAGATGGGCCTGCAAGGCCCGTGTCCCAATGAGCTGATGGCAGAGCCGCAGCCACAGCCATTCAGCGAGGAGAAGGGCTGTTGGTTCCGATGAGATCTTGTCTGGAATGCAGCTCAGGGCTCCCTCGGCATTCAGGCTTCTGCTTTTTAAAAAGGCTCTGCTCCTCATTCCAATGCCAAATTGGAGGGAGAGATCACAAGCTGTGGTTACCTAGTCAAGAATCACTCCGTACATGTTCAGCTTAAGTGATAGTGTCTCCATAGGAAGCCCACAGCTTTAGGAGCAAACGCTCCCGACAAGGCATGGCTCATCTCTGTGCCTCATCGGGAGCTTCCTCTTGACGCTCCAGTGTTTAACCTTTTGTGGTCCAGGGGCCACTGTTCCAGGAGACTGGCCCTCCTGTGTGGCCTTAGAAGTCTCCTGCCAAAGTTCTGGGGTTCTCGGGCAGCCCGAGGCGGCCAGGCGCCCTGGAGACCACCCACCTCGTTGGCGAGGTCGAAGTTGTGGGTCGTGGGAAGGAGTCCAAAACACATTGCCTGGGCAGCGTGGGCACTCACAGCGTGAATCTCTTTTCCCTCCTCCATTTCCCAAACCACCAACTGTGTAGAGCACATAGCACCTCATGTCATTTCATCCTCCCAACAAGGCTGAGCCCCTGGAAATACGCCCGTCCGTTTTCCTAGATGAGGAGAGAGTTTCCGTGCCAGGTTCCGTGGTGAAGGAGGCAGGATTGGAAAGCAGGGCCGCCAAGCGCATGCTATCCTGTCCATTGCCTGCTGGATAGGGGCCAGACCTCCCCCCTCCCCATTATTTTTTGTAATATTTCATCTTCCTTCTCCCTTCACAGTACAAGATGCGAAAAACCTAATCCCCATGGACCCAAATGGGCTTTCAGACCCATACGTGAAGCTCAAACTCATTCCCGATCCCAAGAATGAAAGCAAACAGAAAACCAAGACCATCCGCTCCACACTGAACCCCCAGTGGAACGAGTCCTTCACGTTGTAAGTGTGTCTTCTCTCCTTGACCAAGCGCCCTCCCTGCTCACCACAGCACCCCTCGCCTTGTGGCTGGAGACCCTGAGGGGCTTGTTATGGCTGTCGCTCAACATGGCTTCATTCCGAAGGCTTCTCAGGCTGGCGGGGGAGGGGGGAGACACACCAGGTCACTCATGTCTGATGGTCAGTAACTTGGTTTACCAAGAGTTTCATGATGCTGGCCCCAAATTATCATCAATATCTACTCTGCACAAAAATGCTCTTACATTACCGATGATATAAAAGCGTGTGAGGGGCAAAGTGTGATGTAAGACAAGCGATCCTCTTTGGGGACTTGAGCACAGGGAGCCATTTACCTGGGTCAGCTCTCATTTGTGTAGAATAGAGGCCGGCAAGCTGTGCTCTGTCAAGGACTGGATTATGAGTCATTTTAACCTGACGGGCATACAGCCTCTGTTACCAGCACACAGTTTTGCTGTTCTAGAGTCAAAGCAGCCATAGCCAATATGTAAAAAGAAAACAAACAAACAAACAAACAAAAAAACGGTGATGGCTGTGTTCCAATAAAACTTTATTTACAAAAACAAGCCGTGGGCCGGATTTGTCCTGTGCTAACCCCTGGTCTAGAGCATTGGTTGCCAGGAGGCTGGTTCTCTTTTGGCAGTGGGGAGTCACAGGAAGGGAATCGAATATACTTTTTATTAATCTCAAGCTCAGATCTCAGGAAACCACCATCAAGGTAATCGTGTGTGTGTGTGTGTGTGTGTGTGTGTGTGTGTGTGGTGTGTGTGTGTGTGTGTGTGTGTGTGTGTGTGTGTTCATTTGTAGCAAATTGAAACCTTCGGACAAAGACCGGCGGCTGTCCATAGAGATCTGGGACTGGGACCGGACGACCAGGAACGACTTCATGGGGTCCCTTTCCTTCGGCGTTTCGGAGCTGATGAAGATGCCGGCCAGTGGATGGTAAGGAAGCCCGGGCGAGGACGTGTGTGCCCACCCAGGGCCGGGCGCTCAGAGCCTTGGAGCACTCAGAGATCTGGAAACAGCGGGTTCCAGTCTGGAAGGACCAGGGGCTGTGTGGTGGCCTGGCTGTCCTCTCCCCATGGGGTCCTGCCAGAGGGCAAGGGAGCGGGGTTGCTGAGCCGGGGCCCTGACTCTGCCCCTCTGCCGTCTCTGAAAGGTACAAGCTGCTGAACCAGGAAGAAGGGGAGTACTACAACGTGCCCATTCCCGAAGGGGACGAGGAGGGGAACGCGGAGCTCAGGCAGAAGTTCGAGGTGAGGACCCCCACGGCCGCCGGAGCCCCTTTCCCGGAGAAAGCTTCTCCTCAGGCCGGGCCGGGCTCGTGTGGTCACATCCCACGGCGGGACGGCCAAGAGCCGCCTAAACGCTCTTTACGTAAGTGCCGCTCTTTCTCTCTGCTGGAGACCAGGAATATTCCTGGTCCACGTTGCCTTCGCCAGGGGTTGGCATTCTGTGTCTGTTAGCGAATAGAGAACAGAAACCAAGCATCCTGGGAAGCCAAGCATTCTGTGTCTGACCTCTGCATAAGAAACCGGTCCGCACGTCCTGGGGCGCGGGGCAGGGCTCCCGTTAGGAGGAGCTGTGTTCCTCCAGAGGGCAGGGGGTCCCCGTGGCCTTCATTTGGGAGTGTGTTTGGGGGCGATTGCTTCGCCAGCATCTCCCTGTTTGCTCTAGGTCTGTGGGAAAGGCCCCCAGCTCGCTCTCTCCTCCCCACTGGGCATCAGTGTTGGCCTCCGGATATTTACTAGTAGAGGGACACAGGGGTGAGCGTTAGGGTTGGGGTAGCTTCAAGCAGAAGGATCAGGCACAGCCCTTTTCCTGTTTGCTTTTTTTCTTCCCTTGTCTGATTATCGACTGCCTCCTCCACCCCAAGCTGAGGACAGGAGCCCCGTCCCCAATGCCACACGGCCCGTCTGAGGCAGGACCCTGCTGGAGAGAGTTGGGGGACACCGGGTGCCAGCATCTCTCAGATGCCCCAGTCAGGGAGGGACCAGAGGAGCCAAAACAGCCTCATGGGCTGTCCTGCCGCCTAGAGCGGTCATTAGCAGTCACAGGGCGGGGACCGCTGAGGGGAACAGCCTCGGGCATCACGAGGGGCACACTGGGGGCGGCTGAGGCCTCGCTTTGTGGGCGGAGAAACGTTCACCCGCTTCCAGTGCCTCGTTCCGGGACTTCCTGGTGAGTGGCCTTCCTGTTTTTCTGGGCAGGGAGACCCGCTTTTTATAAAGGTCAGAGTTCCAGGCTCAAAAAAAGAAACAGACCAGAGGGCCCTCGGCCAAAAGCGCAGCATTCCGCTTCTCCCCGGAGGCTGGTTAGCGGCCGGGGGTGTGTGTCCTGCCGGTGGCCGTCCTCCCTCCCGGGAGAGCCGTGGCCTTTGCGGTGGAGCACCGGCCGCGGGCGCTTCCCCGCAGACGGGAAAGGTTACGTCCGCCGAGCTGCATGCTGGTGCGCTGGTGCGCCGGTGCGAACTCGCATCCCGCTTTTCCTCCGATCGCCGTTCAGCGTGTGCTTCCGAGAATCCGCAGGAGTTCTGTCAGCTTGTTTGTGTAGAGCATTTGTAAACCACACAGCCAGAGACCGGCAGGAAGCCCCGAGGTGATGGTGCCAAAGACACCGAGGATGTTACGACACCTGCCGTCCTGCATTTGAGTGGAATGTCCAGGTCGGATTTGAGGCAGGGCTTTGCTCCCACAGCGGCTTTCTGTGGGGGTTTGTAAACGTGACCATGGTGACGTTTCCCCAGGAACAAACTGTTGAAAAGCTGGGGGACAGCCAGCCCTCCCGAACCGGGTGCCATCAGGCATCAAGATACACTTTGGGGGACTGCCTTTATGCCGTGCCCTCCCGCTCAGGCCCCAGTCACAATCGGATCGCTTCCCACTGTCTCCAGCCTCCCCTTGCTGCTCCCTTCTCTCCTTGGACCCCCCACTCACTCTCTTATAGATGCTTTCCCAGCCTCTGGTGACAGTTCCATTCAGCTGAGCGCCATGGGTTTTCACTTACAAGTCGGGGGTGAGTCGGATTGGATGAAACGCTGCATGACGGCTGGTGGTTCTAGGGGCAGGTCTCACTCACCGAACGGCATCCCTCCTCGAGGGCAGCGATCCTCAACCTTTCCATCGCAGGGCACCCATGCCCCAGTGACTGAAGTTCTGCGGCACACCACAAAACATGTTCTATCTTTTGCCGATCTGACCCAAAAACAATAGGCCTAACTATTTCACATCGAACAGCTACTGTGTTGGCTGTTGTCATGGGTTTTGTTTGTTTGTTTGTCTTGACAGTCAAAGGGGAGAGAGGTCCTGGCCAGGAAGTACATGTTTAAAATGGCACACCAGCTGAAAATCACTACTCCGGGCTACGCTTATTCTTTCCCTGACCAGCACTGTTTTTCTAGAAGGAGTTCCCGACATGCGGTTTTCAAATCCTTCCGCAGAAATCTGAGGTCATTCCGTCTGATGAAAGAACGAATAATAATAAAACACCCGAGCAGTCATAACTCTGCCACTGTGCTTGCATTCATCTGATAAGAACATGGAAAACATTTCAAATTTATTGTTGATTTTAAAAAAAAATCCTGGCCAACAGGATGATCAATGAGTGGAGCTCGTAGGAGCCAAGGAAATTCCCGGGATGCCTGGCAATGACCTTACTCTGTAAGGCTTCATCCCACGGGAGCCATTTGTCCACCCAGAAGACAAACCGACCAGGACCTGGACCGCAGTCTCCAAGGCAGTGCTCAGCGGGCCTTCACCTGTTCCATGTTCAACTTCAAATGAAGCTCAAGAGGTCCCTGAGTCAAAAACATACAATACACATCTGTTCTTCGTTCAGTAATGTTCCAGAAGCCAGAAGCGAATGGAAGCAGTCAGTCCCTCCTGTCTGCCGGGTTCCTGTGGGCCCTGCTTCAAATCCTTTTGGAAATGAGGCAGGAAGCTGATGGAGGCATGAGCGTGAGGCCCCCCTGTGCCTGTCAGCAGTTCTCTGGCCCGCCTGTCGCTGGTGAGGACATCAGGGGCCTGGGCTTCCTCCAGCTTCCAGGCCTCCACTGCCTGCAGGGAGTTTCCTGTGAGCGTCAGAGAGGAAGGCCTGCCTTCCCTGTGAGGTGGCCGCAGGATGGTGTGGCCCTTGCTCAGCAAGCCTCTGTAAAAAGTCAGTAATAAATACTTTGGGCTTTTGCAGGCCTAAGGTTCCAAGTAGTACTTGCAAAGTAGGGGTTTCTGTGGCAGCTCCCAGCTCTGCCTTTGTAGCACAAAAGCAACCACAGGCAACATGTAAGCAAACGGACAAGGCCGGGTGCCAATAAAACTTTATTTACAAAAGCAGGCAGGCGGCAGACCAGAGTGGCCAGTGGGCTAGTTTAGCAGCCCCTGGTGCAGCCCTGGACTCTAGTCAAATCCTGGCTCCTGCCCTATGCATGGCCTCACTGTAAATGGGAATAGCGAGCAACACTGTCTTAATAGTCTTATATTGTTTGGTTTGTGATTTTTTTTTTTTTGTTGTTGTTGTGGTTGTTAATCCTCACAGGAAGATATTTTTCCCGTTGATTTTTAGAGGGAATGGAAGCGGAGGGAGGGAGGAGGAAGAGAAGGAAAGAGGAACATCTCTGTGAGAGAGATACATCTCACATCTGTTGCTTGCCTCCCTCACACACCCAACTAGGGCCGGAGGTCAAACCTGCAGCTCAGGAATGTGCCCTTGCCCAGGAATCGAACCCAAGAACTCTTTGGTGCGCTGCCCAACGCTCTAACCACTGAGCACACTGGCCAGGGCAGTAGTAGTGTTTTAAAGTTTAAATTAGTCAACAGAAAAGTCCTAAAAGCAAACTTACATACAATTGTTAGCTCTTACCATCATCATCAGAATGTTTCACTGCAGAAACTGGGTTAAAGAGGGTGGAGTTTTTATGTGTGTGTGTGTCTTTTTTTAATTCTGAAGCTTCCTTAAAAACATTTTTTTATTTTTAAAGTATGCTCTAAGAAACGGGCATGCTCTCTGTCCTGAAGTCGGGCCATTTTATGAAATAGAGGCATATTAGAACATCACCACCATTTAGGACATTGTTTCTGTGGGAAAATAGATCCCCATGTAAATTTAGATGGATTTCTGGAACACGATGTGTCTGTGAATTGGGAACTTTGTGTATCTGGCCATGGGTCAGCTGCTCTGGACAGAACAGGGTTCCGGTGGTTGTCAGGGGAGTAGATAGTCTCCCACCGAAACATCGTCCACACTGGCCTCCACGCAGTGCTTTGGGGTCCTCATTAGAGACCCAAAAGTGAGCACATCTGAAGGGTTTGGCATAAACCACATGAGAGAGGGCACAGCGTAGGGGCAGCGGCAGCCTTAGTTAACCACAGAAATGGCAGCTATCGATACTTTGCTGCTGATTGTGTTCGCAGGAAAGCTCCGTATCTCCGTGGTTTCCATGTTGCTCTTTTACAAAATCTGGGATCTGGACCATTCGCCTCTTGAGCTCTGCCTAGAGGGTGGTGTGTGACATACGCATCCCAGGTAGAAGGGAAGGGAGAGGTCCCGGCTCTACGGGAAAATCACCCTCCCAGGAGGTGGGCCTGCAGGCTGTCTGAGGTCACATACGCGTCTCCTTTTATGTACGTATGCCATGGAGATGTTTTGAGATTGACCCTATTACTGATGAACAAACGAATAGGGTCCCATTCCTATTCCAGTTAAAACATTTAAATTAACATAGAGGAGACTCTGTGGCTAGGTGGTGTGTGGAAAGAGCCAGCAGGCATCTTTCTGTTTATGGTTATTGAAACACTGGGTTTTCCAAAAGCATCCATTGTCTTTGAAGACTTTATCTAATCAGAATGTTTAAATGGGAGGTCAGGGAGAGGAGAAAGTAGCTTATTGGAGACCTTCAGATAAATTGTAGGTATTTGTTGATTTGATCAGGCCTGCTGTTACTGTTGCTATGGAAACTGAGTACTTGCCAATGACCTTTTGAACACTAAACAGAAAGCCTATGGATTCTGCCCTTTTTTTTTTTTTTCCTGCAGTCACTCAATAGTTTATTTATTGTACTTTGTAAACTGTGTGATGTTAAGGGCAGAGAGAGGTGGATCTATAAAATGCATAGCAGTTGAAAGATTTTATATATTTTTCTGTAATAAATGCACCCACTTCTTTTTTATTATTGGTTCTGAGAGAGAAACATTGATGTGAGAGTGAAACATTGATGGCTGCCTCCTGTGTGCCCTCTACTGGGGACCCAGCATGCAACCTGAGC